GGGGGGGAGTTGGGGGCCGGGAGGGGAGGGGGTGTAGCCCTCCAGTCGCCCCCCTGCTCTCACATTTCCCAGCAGGGGTGAACTCTGACCCCGCCTCGGGTTACGCGCGCTCGGCGGACCTGTTAGGCAGAGGCCCGCCGCCGCCGCCGTCCGAAGAGCAACATGTCGTCACCAGAGTCCGAAGTGTGGCGGGGGAGCCCGGGCCGGGGGGGTCCCGTCGACGACTACGGCGAGCGCGCGGGAGCGGAGGTCCCGCATGGCAGCGATCCGCCGCTGAGCGCGAGCTGGCCCGACCGGGCGGCCGGGATTGCCTGCCGCGCCGCCGCCAGACTGCGCGGCAAAGGGAAAGGGAGCGAGCGAGCGCCCGCCGCCCGCCGTCCGCCGTCCGCCCTCGGCCGTCAGGAGGTGTCGCGCGAGGGGACAAGAAAGAGCGACGCCTGGCCGCCCTCCCGCTTGCCGCTTGCCGCCTGCCGCCTGCCGCCTGCCGCTGCGCTAACAGCACCGCCGACAACGCAGCGGGACCTGCGCGCTCGCTCGCTCGCTCGCTCCGACCGGACGAGCTGACTGAAAGACTCCGCGTGTGTGTGTGTCATCTCCCACAAGCGCGCGCGTCCGCGCGCGCGCGCGCGCCCGCGTACTCACTCATCTTATCGATCTCCTGCGGGCGCGTGTTCGTGTGCGTCAGTGTGTGTAAAACCGTCCACTTCAACTTTGACCTCCGGCGCTAGGTGCTTCCAATCTACATATACTGCCAAAGGATGCCGTCTAGCCCCAAATTTTGGGACCAAAAGTAGTGGGGGAGGATTTGTGACTTGAAGCTGATGAGCCGCTTCCTGTTAACAAGCGAGGCACATATTTGCATCTGTTCTTTCTCAGCGACGAGATGGGGTCACCTCAGTGATTAACAACTACAAGTACAGGAACGCAACATGAACAACTCGATGAAGTCCGCAGACAACTACGCGAACAACTCCAGGACGTCACTCGACCAACAGCTGCGTGACAAACTAGCGTTTGGGAAACGGTCTCATTGGCTCCAAGTCCGGCCTGCGGCGGCCACGCCCACGCAGGGCTAAGGGGGCCTTTAGCCCCGTCCCAAATCTGTGGAGCCCCAGTGAAGCACCTCCAACATTCGATATGACATTGCAAAATATATTTCGAAATGAGCCTCAAATCCCGGAGGCGTGCCTGTGGCCACGCCGACAAGAAGTGAAGTCACAGGGGTGGTCCCCGCCGACCCAACTTCTGATCATTTCTCCTTGTTAATTTTATGCTAGGCATCCTGTCTGGAGTCACCAGAGCCTCTCAAGGAACCAACTCACGGTTTGCATCCAGCATTCAGAATATATTATCTCGTGATAGCATTTTGCAGTTGTTTATGGTTGCTTCTGACAACATGATGCAGATCAATCTTTGAGTCTGGAGCTGTGGGTTCGAAAGGAGCATTTCAAATTGGATTCTTACCGATGAAGTGTGCATGTTGCACTTCCCCTAGACTTCCTGGGACAACCGCAGACAATACACACTGTAGCATTTTTGCTAGGGAGGGTGAAAACATTAAAAAAAAAAAAAAAAAAAACGCCGCAAATTCAAGTCAGGTGGCCTTTGCGAGCGGCAACGTAAGATGGCCACCGCTGGCGTCATTTCTCCTGACGGCGAGTGAGGGGGCATTGACCATCCATGCGTCCGTCGCATGCGGGGCGGGGCTTTGGCAACGGACCACCAATTAAATGTGAGCAAAAAAAATGTACAAAGTCAGCGTG